TACTTATAAAAGATATAGGAATTTTTGCAATAAACTATTAAAAAACCTCAAAATACGATATGATAAAAATGTTTTACAAAAGGCCGGTAAAAACAGTAAACTTGTATGGAAGTTCATTAAAAATAATACCTTCAGTTCAAAAAATCTTGGACTCCCACTTGATCTACTGTCATTAGACAAAAGCCCAAACGAAGCAACCAATAAAGTAAATAATTATTTTATTAATGTTTTATTTCAAATTATCCCAAATTGAATATGATTTATGGGCTACAACATTTTTCCTACCAATCGACCCTTACGAATGTGTGCGTGCGCAGTAAAATCAGTTAAAATAATGCATTACCATGCACTTGAATTTAAAAGATAAAAATATTTGAGATTTTTTTACGAGGGTGGCACTGAAAATTTCGGGAATCAAGGAAGTGACACAACATTACTATTTAAAAATGTATTTATTGCTTTTCGAAGTATTTTCTCCTCGAAATTTGAAACATTTTCCATACGATGGAACCAATCATTGAAGCAACCATTCCATTCGGAATTTGGGGTCTCCAAAATGACCGTTTTGTAGGCGTCCACAGCTTCTTCAGGTGATGAAAATCTCTGTCCACGCAATTTATTCTTTATTTTAGGGAATGTATAGAAATCATTAGGGCTTAGGTCGGGGCTGTACGGCGGATGGTCTAATAATTCTATGTTTTCTTGCTCTAAAAACTTTTGTTCTGTGTGCGGTGTGAGAACTCGCATTGTCGTGATGGAGGATGATGCGGCGGCTGCAGTTCTCTATACGGAGTTCGGAAACGACCTGTGGAAAACAAATGCTAGCATACCATTCTGCATTAAGCGTTCTTTGTCCCTCAAGAGGAATAGTCTTAACTTGGCCGGTTTTGGAGACAAACGTGGCCACCATTTTTTTTTGCAAAACTCCGTGAACGAACAATTTTTGTTGGCTTTAACTCATTTTCGAACATCCAAACTCGTGACTGGTTTTTTGTTTCGGGTTCGTACGCATATATCCAGGATTCGTCACCTGATACGATGTTGTATACAGCATTTGAGGATCCTGCGTTGAATCTTTCGAGAGTTGTGACGCACCAAGTAACGCGAGCCGCTTTTTTGCTCTTCACAGAGCGAATGCGTTATCCATCGGGAAAACAACTTTTTTACACCTAATTGTTCATGCAAGATTATTTGTATTTGACTCATGCCAATGTCTAAAGTTGCCTGAATTTCGCGGTATGTCACATGTCTATCTTCCTCAATCAGCTTACGCACAGCATCAACGTTTTCTTGGGTGACTGCAGTTTTTGGACGACCTTGACGGGGATGATCACTGAGCTTGACACGTCCACGTTGAAATTCAGCAACCAGCGATAAATTGTGGTTTTGGATGGGGCTTCATCACCAAATGCAGAAATCATCCGGTCAACACACTGTTTTTGTGTTAAATCACTTCGAAAGTCATAATAAATCATCGCTCTTGAATTTTCTCGAGTCAATTCCATTTTCTCAAAGACTAAACAAGTTTGAAAAAACCTTGTGACAAGACCGAGAATTTATTTGTAAATAAATAAATGGTATTCAATTTTTAAAACCAGGGGTTCTGGAAATATTCCATTCCCGATACTTTTAGTGCAGCCTATGTAATTAATTTTATTTCACCATTACTGAACCTTATCTGCAAATGTGGCCGGTTATTGAAAAATAACCCTGTATACAAGTCTCTAGTATGTTGTACTAAGTACGAGCTATATTCATGTATCAATCAGTGTTCCTTGTAATTTGGTATTGTCCTCCAAAGAGAATATAACCACTACGTTTACTGTCCTCCCTAGTTCCAATGACGTTTGCTGTCATTCGCCTTATTATTTTAGTTGAGGAGTTACGCGCTAAAGAAAGATCACTCACTCGTTATACTCGTAGCTGTAGTAGAGTCATTAGTATTTTGACTGTACGGATTTGTTATATATTATACAATATATCATCAAGAAGAGCGGATCGAGCCGTACACTATCCCACAATCTATGCATTTTTGTGGTGCACTTTACTGAGAATCTATTACACTTTGCTTGGGCTTTGAAATAGTATTTTCGATTCATGTCTAGATGTGTTATCAATAATAAAAATATTATTTTACCCATATTTAAAAAAAATAGAAGATATACCAATTTTAATTAATTAGATTTTTATTGTATTATTAACGCCATCAGTAAGGAAATTAAAAAAATATATTTTATAGTAGTACCACATTAGATATGTTAGATGGCGCTGATTTTTAATTATGAATGGAACATAATTTGATGAAAAAAAAGGCGGAAATTTTAACCTTTAAAGTCACGACATTGTAATGGGCCAACTTAGTTAGACCTATGGTCATAACAACCTCAATAATATATTTTATCAATATTACTAGGTATAATAAATAGTACTGATGCTTTCGAGTGTCAAGTCTTCTAGTGCGCCTTACTGGTATTAAAAAGTGACAAGGAGGTATTCTCTGTTTAGGAGGATCGCCATCGAGCAGCCGGAGCACAGAACACCTTTACTCCGAGCGGATGCCGGAGTTGACGGCGCCGCGTGTGCGGCAAAGATGGAATACCATGAGGATTTGAGTCGGTGCGAGTCGGCTGGGTATACATAGGCATTTCGCCCATGTAAAATAGGTGAAAGACCCCAGTTCGGAGACGAAATGCAATAATCTGTAAAAAGTTTACTGGCCAATTAGGGTCCTAACCGTCCCAAGTCCTATTATATTTACACCTTCCTTTTACTTCCCTGGGTACTCATTGCAAAATATGTGTATGTAATATATAATAGCTGCACCGATTAGATAGTGAGTATTATTGCTATTCCTTCCGTCAGGCTCTACAAGAAAACTTTTTTTGGACATAGACTATATAATGTGTTTGGCAATTAACTTTGGCAGTATGAACGTAAACAATTAATGTTTTATTTTATTTAATGTTTTGTAACACATTAAATTTTACCTTTCTGCTCTCCTTCTCCATGTAAACTATAATTAAAAAGGGGTACAAAGTTTCCCTTCACATTTAAATTGATTGAGGATTTCGTGGCAATATAAACTGCTTTGAAAGATTGAACGACGTGGTTTAGCATAGTAAATATAGTAGATGATGCAGAAAATGTTACGTAGGTATATTTTAAAATTCTTAAATAAAATAAATTTATACGAGTTTAATACTATGCTCAACGGCAGTATATTAGGGCTGCCAGTATGAATAAAACGCAAGAAATATGTAATTTCTTTTAATGATTTTTTTATTCAACAAATTCTGTTCTCTAAATAGTTGAAAAACTTTCTTAAATGAAACAACTTATGACAGTCTATAGTTATATCTTAACACAACTTGATTGCAAATTCATTATTCACATACATCCATTTCTAAAATTTAAAACAAATGACGAAACTGAGGTTACAAAGTTAGGTTTACAAATATTTATGTATCTAGGGATGATGTAGAAAATGTTACGTAGGTATATTTTAAAATTATTAAATAAAATACATTTATATAAGTTTAATAATATTATGCTCAACGGCAGTATATTAGGGCTGCCAGTATGAATAAAACGCAAGAAATATGTAATTTCTTTTAATGGTTTTTTTTTCAACAAATTCTGTTCTCTAAATAATTGAAAGACATTCGTAAATAAAACAATTTATGACGATCTATATCTTAACACAACTTGATTGCAAATTCATTACTCACATACATCCATTTCTAAAATTTTAAGCAAATGACGAAACCGAGGTTTCAAAGTGAGGTTTACAAATATTTATGTATACATGTTGCAGTTCGACGATTTAATCAGTCGCTCTGGACAGCCAGGCCTTTCGACCAATCTAGCTTTTTAGTCCTAATACAATGACGCGCATAATATTTAGGTCGCGATACGGCTAAATTAAAGAACATCGAGACATTTTTCAGTTCTCTTATTTGTATTTATTAATTTACTCTTTATTTTTACACCTTAAAACCACAAGGTAAATATGGGCGGACGCACATAACTTGCTTTTATCAATTTCAATAGTGTTTTGTGTTTTTTTTTTAAACAGTTGAACAACCAGATTTGTATACGATAATAAAAAAAATCAATAATCCAATATTTTCATGATCACGCTCGCAAAATAAAAATTTTGAACTATAGCGCTTAAAATTTGTCAGCCCTTTTGTTAAATGTTTTGTTTGGTATGTAAAGCGACTAAGCTCTTTCCTTAGTCATTTAATTGAATTTTAGATTAAAAGTAAGTACCTAAATTACTACCGTCAAATTACAAATCTGATTAAACCATCGGCCTGCTTCATATTTACAAAATTTGATACTTTATTAAATGTCGAAACACAAAAACTATTGACATAAATATCTTTTAGATTTTTCAAAAATTAATAAAAGAAATTGAATCATTTTAATTTGTAAAAAATCCTTTGTTTCCAAGTAACTATTGCTAACCGTAACCATCACATACCCGTATGATATTAAAATTAACTATTGAGGATCGATTTCAACAAAGTTTCATTCGACAGGGACTTAATTAAAAGTATCGTCTATATACGTATAACTGTACTAAACATGTTTTATTTCACGAAGGCGGGCGGGTCTTTCTTGTAGCTGTGGTGTATAAACAGACACGCGTGCTCGTGTGCGTAACTGCATGTAGCGTTAGCAAGGTCATCGTAATTTAGTAGTTTCGTAGAAAAGAATATTAAATGTTTTTATTTTTTTAATGGTAATGATGCATTATATTTTTGGTGGTTTCTCGGAATCGCTTTTAACAATTGGGATGATATTATATTGTTTAACTTTACAAGTTTATCTAGACGTGTGTTATCCTTAAAGACTTTTTTTCTAACACTAGTAAATTAATCTTGGAGTAGTGTGAACAAACCAAAGAAGTTTAATCGTAGATTAAAAGCCGATGAGTCAATTTATTCTGGTATTATCTGTTTTGTTGAAATCGTTCATCACCGTATTATCCATTTCTATTTGTTCTTTTTGTCCTTCTTCGTTTTGCTGTTCTTCGTAAGTTTCTTGATAATTGCACAAATGATTTTCTTTACTATTACGTAGAACATGAACAAGACAGCTATCACAGCAGCAATTTGGTCTAACATCCACAGTTCATACCATTTGTAAAGAATCGACTTGGAACGCAGATGGTAAGCTCCTAGAAGAAAAAGTTGTAACTTATTATAGTCTACCTTATCTATCACAAGCTTATTCCGTGTATTTTATTATACCTTATTCGCTTAGGCTTTATGATAGTAAACCTAGAATCGCAATCACTTCAGTAGCAGTTGTAAAAAAAGGCCATTATAAGGCAGTGGAATCTCTTACGTTGCCGCAAAACGGTGGCACAGCACGGCTAAACTGTTATATTTTCGAAGGTGAAGGAAGACATCCTGAGAAAACTGTCACGTTTGAGAAATTGAAGTTTGTGTAAGAAGTGTAAGTTCCATCAATATGTACTGCAGCAACATCAGACTTACCTGGCCTAAAACCTTGAGAGAGGGATTTTTGGCGAATTGAATGGCCAATAGACGTCCACCTGACGGTAAGTAGAAGCAGTGACTAGCAGAAACCTACGTCTATCCTCAATTAAGAATCAAAATACAGATAACACCATCCCTGAGGACTAAAACGATAAGCTCTGTTACTAGTAAAAAGAACCTCGGTCCTCGTCACTGAACTTACGCATGGAACATCATTATGCTGCTATTTAACGCTGGTATTCTATGCGAACGCGGACATTTCCCGATCCATAGCATGCTGTAGCAGGAATCTAACACGTCAGCCCTTATCTTATAGATGTAGAAAATGTAAAAAATATAAAAGCCGTCTTTAAAGGACTAAAATTAAAAACGTTATCCCTTTTTACCCTTAGGGGCATTTGATCATATTCTCCAAATGTATTTGCTATCACCCCTTAAGTATAATCTATAATATAATAAAAAAAGATTCATTAATGTAGATCGACAATTGACAAAGATAGCAAAGATATTGATATTTTTTTGAGTAAGTATAATACATACAAAAAGAAACACTCGAATTGAGATGCTCCTACTTATTTGAAGAAGGCTGAAAAGTCTCACCTTTACTCTCGATGGCCAGCTCAACGTAATGCGAGATGAGCTTACTCTGCTTCACCGGCCGGCTGTTGAACACCTTCGATAATGACTTGACCTTCTTGTAATATCTACAAGAGAAATTTGATTATATAAGCAAACAAGACTATGTATGCAGTTGGCTCGGGATTTTTTGTTTTTTTTGGGGGAATTGTGTAAAAGCGCTCGAATCTACATTTCATTGATGTATGAGATCCATTATTTCATTTATTACAGCCTATCAAAAGTCCATTGCTGAACATAGGCCTCCCCATAAAATTGCCTTATTAGGAAGACACTGCTTCTCATGCTGGTTAGTTTCCCTTTGTCGCATCTTGCAACACTTACGGGACGGTAGTGAATATTCTTGCACCGCCTCTACACGGTATTATAATATAATATAAGATATATTACGTCAAAATATGTCAGTATCTCAAAATTAATACCTTTTAGAGCGGGCTTATAAAATGTGCTGTGTTTTAGAATTCACTCCTTAAGAATCGATTTTCATGTATAGCTCGCTGTACACATTAGATGGTGAGCGAAATCGAGTGTTACCAAAAAGTGAACTCGTCATATTGCCCTTCATCTACTTCATTCTATTGGTCATTTTATCAAACAAATTGGTAGATTTAACTTTCAAGGTTACAATATTAACTATAATAGACGCTATATGGCCTAACGCGATTAATTTGTTATGAACTTTCGTAAGGACTAAACTCCAATCGAACGTCGTTACCACATCATACCTCATCCCTGCATCGTGAGCGGCCCATGTCCAGCAGTGGATTTTTATAGGCTGACGAAGAAATAAATATTCTATAACTAAGACATGACAGGCAGACTTATGTCCCTTTTCACCATATTAGTCCTTTATAATTTTTGATCGCCGAGTTGATCCAGTTAATAAACGAGACTAGGTTCGGGGTCAGGCAAAAATCAGTTACCGGGTTTCTATGTAAAGACATTTTAAATACCAGCTAGGAATCAGGATGTTAGCGGTGTTTCACCCACGTGCCTCAAAAGGCATTTCATGATCTCTCTCCGGCCATGTTGCTTTACTAACCCATCGGACGGATAATGAGGGAATGAAGAATGCACCTGTATTTGTGCAAAACAATCGTGTATTACGGCTCCTCCTTCTCAGATGGAGCCATAACTGAAATTTGGTCTACTACTACAGTCCATCACAACGCCACTGCTGAATTAGGTCTATGTTTCTCCCATAGATTTTCAAAGCACAGTTTTCTTTATGAATATGGTTGAAAAACGAGCAAACAGTCCACCTGATGGTCAGTGGATGCTGTGGCCCATAGACACCTACATTTATTCTCGATTAAGAATCAAAATGCAGATAATATACGGTACGATCCCGAAACACCTGCATCCATCGATTGCCTGCATCTTTCATCAGGCCCATCTAGTGGGGCCGGCCAAGACACAAGAAGACAAGAGGCTACCACTCGAAAACCTTTCTTCTCCATCCGTTGTTGGTTGTTCGAGCTATATGGCCTGCACATTGTCACTTCAGTTTACTGATCCACTGGACTATATCAGTTACTCTTGTTCTTTTGCGGATATCCTCGTTACGGACTTTGTCCCGCAGAGTAACTCCGAGTAAGAGAGTAAGAGTAACGCAGAGTAAGCCCTTTCCATTGCGCTATTTAAATGTGATGGCTATAATATACGAGTAACTCGAAGTACCGACTACTATGGAAAAGGTAGGTTTTTCGAGTGGCAGCCTCATACCAGCAAATGAAGGGTACGGCAGCTCTTCAATAAATGGAGTAAGGACCTGGTAAGACATTCAGAAAGAAGTACGATGCAGGTAGCTTAGCACCGTTGTAAGTAGTAAACACAAATAAAATATTATCATAGCCAGTAATATACTGAGAAGTCAACTATACACGCAAAATAAGCGTAAGATCGGACTTAATGATATTTATTTATTATTCATCATCATCACCCTCCTCCCCCAAGGAATGCCACAAATCACGGTCCTAAGCCACCTGAATCTATCGATTTCTTGCAAGTCTTACCAGGTCGTCAATCCATCTAGAGGGCCACCACAGACAGCGACGTTAATAACAATTTAAATAAAAATAAATATTAAAGTTTTAGTTTGACTTTTTTTGCACATCCTACACTCTTAAAATTAGCCCACAATGTGAAGCGAAATTTCACTTTTACATTTCTAAGATGATAAATTAATAATTTATAATAATTATAAATAATAAAAAATCTATAACACTCTTATTGGAATAATTTATATTTACTTGTCGTTAGAAAGCATTTCGTTGAGAGCCATCTTCAGTTCAGGAGCCATGTCAGGCGACATCTCAATCTTGAGTGCGTAACCGTCCTGCACCGAACGTTCCGCATTGCAGCGCTGGTCGCCGAACACCGGGATCGCTATTGTTGGAACCCCGTAGCGCAGTGTCTCTAGCGTACTGAGCAAACCGCCGTGGGATATGAACACCTTCACGTTCGGATGCGCTGATGGGAAATATAAATATATATGACGAATATATTAGATAATGTACAAGTACCAGGAAATCTAGTTAATGATTATAAATTTCACGAATTGAAGCAATATAAATTAACAAAGTTAAAAAAGAACAAAGGAGAAACATTGCTAATTGCTATATTACGTTGAATTTTTTTTATAGGAGAGGGGGCAAACGAGCATGCGGCTCATGATAGTAAGTGACTACCACCGCCCATGAACAACTGCAACACCAGGGGAACCAGGGGAATTGCAGATGCATTGCCGGCCTTTAAATAATTAGACCAGACTACTCGCAATCAATCACCAAACTCTTACCCAAAATGCTGGCTTGTGGCATCCACGACCTTATGTGCACATTCTTAGGCAGTCCATCTAAATTTTCTTCAAACTTCCACAGCACGGTATATGGAAGCTCGCCAAGAATCTTGAGCAAGTCATGCTTCGTCTTCTCGGGAAGAGCAGCGGACTTGAACATGGATCCCATGCTGAAGTAGACGACGCCTCTTGGCGATGCGTCTAGAATTTCTTGAAGATCCTGACGAAGTTTGTAAATAGCTTAGGAACAACTTTTCGTACGTACGTGGTAGGGACATGCTGGAGCTATATTATTGTTATAGCATGAATGAGTCGACTCTACCGAGAAAGGACCAAGTTTTCACAGAATACCAGAGTGAAATAACCGCTTGGTGGTGCTGTGTTTCATAAGGTAAGTATAGAGAGCCAGAGATTCTTTTTACTGGAAACGAAGCATTCCATCTTAGTTTTAGTCCTCAGTGGTGAAAACACATCTACATTTTTATTCTTATTGGAGGATAGATTAGGTGCCTATCGGCCACCCTTATTCTATTAAAAAATAACAAACTAACAGCAAGTTTACCTGGCAATAACTACGTTCCAAAAAATGTTTGCTATTTTGGACGTAGAGAACCGATGACCCTTGTAACTGGCATTCCATGTTGCTCCTCAGTCGCAATGCATTTGCATTTAGATACTTAATAGGGGATATTTCTTAGTTGTTAGTTGTGGTCTATTATAATCAGCTCTATCCAGATAACTCCACACTTTTACTAAGTGTTAAATCAAGTTTATAATTGGCGCCGCTGTTTTCTTTATAGTCTTCCTCGAGAAGTAAAAGCATTTAATCACTTATTAAAACCTCTTTCTAGCATTTCCATTGTGCTTTCTTTTATAGAATAAGGGTGACAAACCAGCACTCAGCCAACTTGATGGTAAGTGGATGCTGTGGCCCATAGACATCTAGATTTAACCTCGATTAAGAAACAAAATGCAAATGCGTTGTCACCCCTGAGGACTAAGATGGAGTACCTCGTTTCCAGTAAAAAGGATCTCTGGTTCTCTACACTCACCATACAAAACAGCAGCCTTAAGCTGTTATTTTATGCTGATATTTTGTGAGAGCTTGTTCCCACCACGATCGAGCCATTCGTGCTACAACCATAATAAAGCTGCAGCATGGCTCTACCACGTAAAAAAGCTTTTACGACACCCATGGAAATAAATGTAATAAATTTATAAATCATAAAGTCTTGCCAGCATCTTTCTACGTCGCCTCTTACGACACCGATGGAAAGAGATCGGGGGTTTTTTTATAGAATAAGGGTAACAAACTATCACACAACCCACCTGATGGTAAGTGGCTGCTGTGGCCCATAGATATTACATTTATTCTCATTATAAGAATAAAAATGCAGATGCTTTGTCACACCTGAGGACTAAGATGGAGTGCCTCGTTTCCAGTAAAAAGGGTCTCCTGTTCTCTCCACTCACCATACGAAACACAGCAGCATTAAGCTGCTATTTTACGCTGGTATTCTGTGAGAGCGTGGTCCTACCCCGGTCGAGCTGACCCATTCGTGCTAGAACTATTATATAGCTGCAGCGTGGCGCTACCACGATGGCTAAGGATTCTCCACCATCACACAAGTTAGATAAAATGTTAATTCATTCATTAATTTCATTCTATCAATAGTCCACTGCTAAATACAGGCCTCCCCGAAGATATTCGGCCCTTTATTCCTCATGTGGCAAATGAGTACATACTAATTACGAGTATATACTCTTTGCCACGAAGTGTCGGCCTCAGCAAGTTTGGAATACTTATGCCCGACACGGCTAACGGCGTAATGGATGGCAGTATAATCAATTCGTTACCGGAGAAATGTATCCAGACCGGCGTCCGGGAACAGTGTCAAAGTTGCAAAGCGACTTGTATAGGTATTGCAATCGCCTATCTGCCTGTCATGAATGTAGAATGCACACCCTAACTAAGGCAAATGCTCCCTACAACGGGAGAGGTCCGTGTGTAACTGGACTTTAACGGGCCAATGATGATGATGATGCTCCTTTCACGTAACTCTTCTATGACCATTTACAATGCTAATCTACACTTTACATGTCGAGTCTCTCCAAACTCCAAACATTTGAACCTCCGATCAATGAAAAACTTTTACTCCTACACATTTAATTTTGCAACCCTGACAAGTACTTTAAGACAATACTTAGCATCCCAAATTTCATGAATAAACCTATTAAAACTCTTGAGTTATTAAGGTCTTAAAAGTGTCATGGGATTTATTTATCCTAAACTTACTTTAGGCAGCGGTGGAGTAACCTCGTCAATATGATACCCAGCAATCTCGATCACGTTGGGCGGGAGGCTTATAGCAGGTGTGAACGAGGGATGCGAGTTCACAAGCAAAATGGAAATATTGTGCATTGCCTCGGAGAACGGAGGCAGCGACACTCCTCTAGCGGCTGCAAGAGGTGCGAAATGCTGCTCGTAAACGGATATAGCTGTTGCTGTGTCTCTCCTGGAATAACAACGAAACAAAATATAAATATGATGAATGAAAATTAAATATGTTTTTTAATAAAAGCGACCTCTACCAGACTTGATGGTAACTATAAAAATTTTTATTCTCGTCTCGGTAGACCGATTGTTTTTTAAACCATACATCCAGATATTTTTCACGATACCAATAACTAGTTTCTGCGAATTTAGCACACTGTTTCATGCCATCAGAACTTCTTAATAGTAATAAGAAAAATTATTTTTTTAAGTATTGTGTCCGATATATATTTGAACAAATGCGTAAACAAGAATTTAGTTCAACCATAAACAAATATGAATAGGGGACTAAGTTCGGTACCAATGTTTGCAGTCTTACTCCAATAATTGTTTTGGTACTAGTTTAAAACATGACTAAAAGATCTAGGTTTGTTGTATAATAATGTTAATATTAGGATCTTACACATGAAATTGGCGTTTTGTGATACTGGCCACTTTGATTTCAAATATCTGGAATTTGGTTAGGAATCCCAAATTCAAATTTGTTTCTATCTTTATATATAAAAATTACGTGTCACGTTGTTTGTCCGCGAAGGACTCCTAAACTACTGAACTGATTTCAATGAAATTTTGCACACTGTGTGCATTTTGGTCCAACTTGAGAGATAGGATAGTTTTTATCCCGATAAATGACCCTCAAAAATTTTTATTGATTTTTTCATAGGAAGGGTCGTCAGAAAGGGCAGAGCAACGTCTGCCTGGCCAGCTAGTATATAATAAATTGAGGCTTGTGTTTCGAATTTATTGATTCATTTGTTTTCGCGCCATTTGATTTTGAATTTTTCTTTGACATCGTTCAGTTCACAATATAGAAAACTTAAAATATCGCGTTATTTACGAAAACGACTTCCACCGTGGCACCAGCGCTGCAGAAACAGCTCGAAGGATTAATGATGTGTATGAAGAAACCACTGTAAAAGAAAACAATGTACGTTTTTGGGTCCAACGTTTTCCTTCGGGAAATATTACCTACAAAACAAACTACGTGAACGACCGGATACCCTAGTCGACAATGAAGAATTCAAAGTCCCATCAAATCAAAGTCCCATAGATAAATTAGGGTTCTCGATAGTGTAACTTTAGTACCACACTTAATTATTGAATTAGAAATAATTTGCGTTTTGTAATAACGTTTTATTTAGTTCATGTTTGATACCTAGTGTTAATCGCAATACTGTATTTAGTCCGTGTTTTTGAATGAAGCCTTTGAGGTTTGGGGACACGTTACACTTTTGAGGATGCCGAGAGGAGTTGAAATCTCGACAGCTGAAAGTAGGAAAATTTGGAATAGGGCAAAGGAACCCCAGAGAACTTCATGGAGAAAGAGGGACTCTTTATGATGAACTCTTTTTTCCAGAAGCAGTCCCACAAGAAGTGGATCTGGTCGAGCCCAGACCGTTCGACAAAAAATGACTTCATTATGACGACTAGACGGCGACTTTTCAGTGATGTCTCCGTGATCGCGAAGGTGAAAACTAGTAGCGATCACCGAATGGTTATAGGCAAACTGAATATAAACGTTAAGTTGGAGAGGTCTCGTCTAATGAAGTCAACGCTCCGTCCCCCTCGTACTCTAATCCAAAGTCCCGAAACCTTTCAGCTCGAGTTACAAAACCGTTTTCAGTGCCTAGAAGATTGCAATGCAGTGGACGATATGAATGACAAGCTCGTGGATACTGTCCATGCGCTCAGAGCTAAGTTTTGCAAGACCCGCCGCAAAAGAATATAAAAAGTCTCCGATCACACTCTTAATTTCATGGCTGTTAGACGGGAAATGAAGCTGCAGTCTTCAGTAGATTTGATAACATATAGGCAACTGAACAGAAAGATCTCCAAATGCATGCGGCGGGACTTACGCGACTTTAATACTGCTCGTATTGAAGAAGCGATCAAGCGGAACTAGGGCTCCAAAGTCTTTGCTAGAGATCTGTCTGCCAAAAAGAGCCAACTGTCGAAGCTGAAGACCGAGTGTGGCAACGTCGTTTCCGGGACACCTGAGATTTTGAGTAAGAATGAGAGGTTCTATGGGCAGCTGTACACATCATCGTTGGAGCCACACGCAAGTGTGAGTAACGATCCAAGAGCAAGTCTTATCCTACATTATTCCGATGATATTCCGGACGTCAGTCTGAGCGAGATTAGAATCGCTCTCCAGCACATGAAAAACATGAGGATATCGTAGTAGAACCAGAGTGACCGACATATCCCAACGGATTAGTAAGCTGAAGTGGTAATGGGCCGGCCATATAGCTCGAAGAACCGACAACCGATGGGGAAAAAAGGTTCTCGAGTGGCGGCCTCGTACTGGCGGACTAAGTGTAGGGCGTCCTCCCACTAGATGGAGTGACGACCTGGTAAGATATGCAGGAAGTCGATGGATGCAGGTGGCTCAGGACCGTGCTTTGTGGCTTTCCTTGGGGGAGGCCTATGTCCAGCAGTGGACTTGTGAAGGGCTGTAATGATGATAGTTAAGAAACGCGTCTGTTTCTACGATCGTCAACCTGCTTGTCAAACGTGATGATTAAGGCAAATTCTCTGTGAAATGGAGGAGGCTAAGCTACTAGAGAAAGAGAAGATACATACCAGATATAGTACATCATATTTCCGAAGCTGAAGGTGTTAAGTAGGCGGTCCCTAAAGCTCATGGGCACAGGGAATTCGTTCGTCATAAATGGCACGACTGGCAGGGACCGGACCGTGTCCACGAGGTACTCCATGTACTGATGCATCACAGCGCCGCTCAGCATAATCCAGGGTACTTGTTGGACCGCAGCGTACCTAAATCAATTTGACATGATAATAGTATTAAGTTGCCGCATAAGACACCCCTCCCCCCCCCCCCCCCTACACACACACAACCCTACAACCCCATTTCCCACCGCGGGTGTCGTAAGACGTGATATGGGATAAAAAAAGAAAGAAAAATCTCATGGTCTTTGATAGATGACGGTATCACCATCTAGTGTAGACCTGTATGAGATACAGACTGGTGACGAAAACTAGCGCTAAAGGTGCGAGAATCTGGTATAGCTATTGAAAATACAACTGCCAAACATATCAATTACAATGGAAGAGGTCTTTGTCCAGCGGTAGTTAGTTGGGGGCACATAAAAAAGAAGAAGAAAATTAAGTGAAGTTTTAAACCTATATATGTCCCATTGCTAGGCATAGTCATTTCATATCAAAGGAGGTTATGGACCAGATAGTCCACCGCGTTACTGACTTTACATATCCTGGAATTTTTTCTTTCTCAAACATACAGGTTTCCTCACCATGTCTTCATTTACCGCCAAGCATAGATACCACATGATTACGATGTGTACAAAGCATTTTCTCCGAACGGGACTAGTTCACACACACACACACACACACAAAGTCCCATTTAATTTTACACGCGAATCTAAGCTTTGTGTTAGTTGCAATTAAAGACTTTTTCTTTACTTATTTTAATCAATATAGTCAAGACAACAAGTTGAAAACAGTTACTAAATATATTTTCTTCATGTCTTTTAAAACATCTTTTCATTACTTTTTCATTTTTAAAAAAAAAAACATCATGAATGAAAGTCAGAATAAAAAGTAAAATATATATTTATATTATGTATAACCAATGTATAACCATAGGCAATAGCTGACAGTATTTTTCTCTGACTAATAACCTACTTGAATCTACAACAGCTTATTAAGCTTCTATGTTCTTATACTAGTCATCCGATAACGAACCCGCAATATTTTCTGACAAAAAACTAAACGTTTGGTGTTTTTTGTTCGTTTCTTACGCGTCACTAATGTCCGAATGTTGACCAGTGTTAACGGAGACTAGCCATCTGCTCGGGACAGGGTTATTTTGCACGAGTAGGTATATCACCTTACTCTTATCTCTCTTGTTTGCTGATGACACAACCGTTATCGTGAAATGTGAAATGCAAATACATATGAACTAGAGGTAAATAAGGCAATTAAAAACATAGTACACTGGCTTTATTGTAATAATTTACAAATTAATATTGAAAAAACTAAAATGATCCAATTTCAAACATATAAAAGAAAACCATTGAATATTAATGTTAAATATAATGATACAATCATCGAACAAGTAGCAAGTACTAACTTTCTGGGTATAGTGTTGTTTTGCAAAAGAGAGCCGTACGGGCGATTTATAATCTAAATTGTAAAGAGTCCCTTAGAGAAAAATTTAAAGAAATAAACATATTAACTTTGGCATCGCAATATATTTATGAAAATGTAATGTATGTACATAAAAACATAAATAGCTTTAATAAGAAGAAGGATGTTCATACCTTAAACACTAGGAACAAAGATAAGCTTGTAATGCCACTTACTAGACTCCACAGAATTAGTAATTCATTTATGGTGCAATGTATACGCTTTTACAACAGAATCCCAGAATATGTTCAAAGTTTGTCAATAAACAAGTTTAAAAGTTTTATTAAAGAAAAACTATACAAAAAGGGTTATTATAATATCAAGGAATACATGAATGAAAATAACCCCTGGGAATAAGGTGATCGCCACCATGCTGGTTCTATGAAAATTCATTTAAAATTGTATAAACAAAATTATTGCTAAGTGAAATTATGTTTAAAAAAAAAGTCCCGCTGGGTTTCTTGCTGGTTCTTCCCAGGACAGAGGTATTTTCCGAACCAGTGGTAAATAAAATAATGACTTTCAATAAGTATTATGTAATAATCCATATTGAATAAAAATCATTCTATTCTATTCTATTCTATTCTATCAAAATTGAGACTGGAAAACTCATGTCGATTACGTTTGTGACAAACTCGACAGATTTGTCTATGCAATAAAAAGATTACGAGTCACGGTATCAACTGAAGCTGTTCTATGTGCATATCACGGATATGTTTCGTCCGTACTGTCATATGATCTTTTATTGTGGGGCAATTCGGTGGATATAATAAAAGTGTTTCCAGTACAAACGAAATGTGTGCTTGCAATCTATGGAGCCTGGTGTACGGATAGCTGTAAGCCCTTGTTTAAAAAGTACAATATCTTGACATTACCATGCTTGTACATTAAAGAAGTATTCCTATTTGTAAAACAACATCCGGAACACTTTGGAAAGCGTATACGAACGAAATGTACCTCCTAGATATAAACATAAGCTCTGTTTATCTCAATGCAGGCTCGAATTGTATAAAAGGAATTCTTATGTTGATGCTATAAAGGCAATAAAGGTATATAAAAAATTGCACAACTCCTTTAAAGAGTTACCTTTAACAATGTTTAAAAAAAAGTTGACACAATGGTTAAAGGAAAAATGTTTTTACGACTTCAAGGAATTTATATGTTATTGCGAAAAATAAATCTGACATCAAAAATATTGATATATATATAGGTAACTAACTAGTACGTTTATGTAATCTAACATTTTAAAATTTTACTGCTATTACTTAATTTGTTTTTTGTATTATGAATGCAATTAATTAATTTGTTTTTAATAATCATAAATGTATTCAATTGAGTTTGTATTTGGTGTTAAAAAAATTTATAATTGTAAAATGTATTAGTATTTTTCTATGCTATAATGTAAATGGGCCATTAGATATAATTTAAGATCATACTTTATTGTACACCTACATTCTGGCAAATGATAGGATTCTGGAAAATGAATTTGAATCTTATAGTGCGATGGTACGGCAATCCGACACGACCAAAGAGAGATAGGCGCAGGACTAACTGCTTTACGCGATTTTCGAGGCACGGCACGCCGGTAAAACACTGACAACTTACTGACTCAATAACTATTTTAGCTCGACCCTATACTACTCATACAGTTATGATGAACTGACACGAAATATCATTTGTTCATTTTCTTTCATCTGATCTATCATCTGATATATAAGCCTCCCCCATGCAATGCCTCATAAGAGGATGTTGCCCTAGTTACTACGCTCAAAAAGCGAGATGGCATTCCCAGTTTTTTATAACTTTCTGCTGTTTCAGTTTCCCTCTGATGCCTCTCACGACACCCATGGGACGATAGGGGTAGTGGTACTAAATAGTCAAATTCATCTAACTCAAAGTTACTTTGGTGTGTTGTGCGCGCGTCCGCGAAGTTTTTCGCATTCCGGAAGCCACCTATCTATAATAAAATGTATTCCTGCAAATAACTTCTGATTTCATATTAACAAAAACCTCTCACCCAGCCTCGATATCCGAGTAGAACCATTCAGTAACGACAGCGTCATACTTTTCCTTCACGAGGGCTTCTCGTACCAATGGAGAGCTCGCGGCAACCAAAGAAATGTTTCTAAAGAATTCCAGAGTTATCGACATATCCCATTTCGAGCTTTTCGAGACGTCGATTGCTAGAACAAAAAAATTAAGGAATCGAAAATTATAGATATTTTAAATATAATTACAGGTACATTGATGTTCGCAGTAGAACCAGATTGTCCGACATAACCCAATGGATTATTTAGATAAAATGGAAAAATATGGCAGGCAATCAGCACGAAAATCCGACAACTATGGGACAGAAAGTTTCTCTCTTTGTACCAGATTGTTATTGTACATAATATTATCGTTTTATATTGCTCATAGGAGAGATCAACTCTACAGTAGACAATATTTATGACATTTCTTAACTACATACATAGATTAACTTAAAACTTAAGTGACATGGGAGCAAGTGTGTTAAGTGCAAGCTGTTTTATTGCACTTTTGAATATTCTGGATATTAGGACAAAATATACAAGTCGGTGTTTTCTCTTAGATATCTCATTGTCAATCCGAAACATTCATATAATACTCTTTAATAAATTTAATCTTTTCTTTCCAAATTTATCGAAAGCCAACTCATACCGACACAGTTATACCCGCGTCATCGTGTCATTCATGGCAACATAAATTAGTCGCTTTTTATTGTTATATTAATCGTTTGTTGACTGTCCCATTAAGTAAAGAAAATTATTTAAAAGAGCTTAATGTAATTTATCAAATAGCGGTTTCTAAAGGATCTTTAATTATATACATTTTATTGATATTTATGTATATTTAAAATTTTCATTTATATGTTTATAAAACTATAACTAAAATACATCAATACCAAAAGTAATCATATAAATACCAAAAAATGAATACTGTTATTTATTCGCTAAACATGGTACCTACATCAAAGATGACAAATAGTTGTGCATAGTACATATGCGGAAACTATTTAACATAATATATTAAATCATTATTTTTGTAATATTGTCTAATACTGATAATTAAAATGAAATTAATTTAAAATTACATTTCATCATTTTTATTTTATAACTAGGCAAATCAAATTAAGTATATATAGAAAAAAAATTAAGAAGTCAAATGAGTATGTACTTAATCTAATGGGAAATATTCAAGAGCTGGTATCACTCAGCTCGCCCCCGAGTGACGCAGCGCGCTTGTTAAACAATAGTAGTAACGCATACTTGTGTGCGTAATATGCACACAAGCGCTTCAAATCTGGCCGGTCGTTTTTGTTGCGTTTGCAGCACAACGCTCTATCTAGACATGTATATAATCAAAGTAACGGATTATCAAAAATTCTCGTTAACAATTTAATTAAAAAGAAACAAAAGCACGTTGTTCGCAACTCTCTGTACGCGTTTCAACCACAAAGCGTTTGTCGATATGTGTGCAGTTTGACCTACTTAGATCCCATATCTGTAAAAGTAGGACTAGTAGATTCTTTGACAAATTTTATGTGGCGTTCAAAACAAACGATTGTCGGAATATCTGTAATAATAAAGATAAGTTGGATATTCATCAAAAGTCAGGTGTTTATAAACTTGTCTGTGACAAATGTCATGCCGTTTACGTGGGTTAGACTGGTCGCAACTTCGACACATGTTATAAAGAGCATTTAGACGCGTACATGAATTGCAATCCCGATAAATCCCATTTCGCTAAACATCTCTTGGACACTGCAGACAACCTGCCAAAGACCACTTTTTTAAAGTCTTACATACGTGTAATAAAGGGTTTCGACTGTGTGTGCTGGAATAGTTAGAGATATTAATAATTAAAAATTAAAAATTTTGTACAGCCGACTTCAATATAATTTATTAAGAATAACTCAAAAACTCAATAGTTTTTGAGTTATTCTTAATAAATTATATTGAAGGCTTGACCTTGATCAAATTCATATGGGACCACACGAGAACTACCAGCTTTCAAATAAAAAAAGAATTATCTAAATCGTTCCACCCAATAAAAAGTTATGAGGTAACACACATAAAAAAAAACAAAAAAAAATGCAGTCGAATTGACTAACGTCTCCTTTTTGAAAGTCGGCAGAAAATAATAATAGTAACGTAGCACTGCTGAATGAATAAACACATTTTTCTAATTTACCTCTCTTAAATATCTTTAAGCCTGCTCTCTAATAACAGACAGCCTTGCAACATGTTAGTTTGTCACCCTCACGGTAATCGGCGATTGTTTGCGTGGTTGGAGAGTAGGCAGCCGTTTCGCGGCGGTTTGTTATTAATTTTACAAGCGGCCGCGTACGTCAGGTGGTGATTGGCCGCATGTTTTATCGCATGATGCAGTCGCTCGCTACTTAAGTGGGGCGCGGTTACGTCAGCGAGTTGTATAAATAGTAGCTGTTTTGGGTCGCCGCTCACTTAGCGGTCAGCCACCGAAGAGTCTACTTCATCTGAAGATGCCTCGTATAGAGGCGAAACACGTGTCGTATTGTCGTCAGTGGTGTTTCTTTCCTAGTGTAGTGGTATAGGGAGTAGTGGTGCTGGGATTAATGGTGACGGGGATAGTGCACGCAATTGAGGTAGTGCAATAGGTACACTTCAAACTAGGTAAGACACAACATTTTATTTATTCGAGCGGATGTACGCAAAGTAATTTTTACCAACTTTAACATAATGGATTTCCGCAAAATAACGCCTCATTCTATTAATTATCCTAACAAAAATAAACAAATATTGAGGTATAAACAAAAGGATGTCTTATTGTTATATAGCAATCTCTTCCAGACAACCCAAAAAAAGAATAAAATAAAAATAAGAGATAGAATAACGGAGAGGATGCACTAAAATATGAAAGAATACCGACTTATGCCCTAAAAAGACAACGTGCTTTAGGTGGTAGATCAGTGACCATAAATAAAAGGAGGAAGAGAGAGGGGTGAGAGAGACTAACAATGTTCTTTAACCTGTTTCTTGATCAAATGTAAAGATTGAGCACTTCTAATCGACTGGGGTAAGTAGTTCCAAAGTAAATTATCATCAATAAATATATGATTATATATGAGGAGCCAGATTCACCTATGCGGTTTTTCAGAACTGCGTTACCCATCCTATAGTACTAACCTGGTCGGGCCAGGTTGAGTCATTCATCAGCGTAGAGATGAATTATTATTTATCCGTCATTCAAACGGTGTGTACAAATCGCGACTTTGACAGTTTAATTTTCTTTAATTATTAACTTACAAGCGAAAACATCTAGAGTTTTGCTCACGTCGATCTGCTTCAAATGTTTATGTGGTGACTTCTCTAAATACGGCGTCGCCCATGTAACCTGAAAAGTAAAGTAAAGACCTATAAAAGTCGCACCGCCCGGCACACACCTCTTCTAAGTTCTAAGAGAATTTTGTAAGAGGGATAAATCGCCTGTGCTTGCTCAATATAATATATAATAGGCGAAAAAAATATTTCTTTTATTTAGCACGAGATAAATATTAGAAAAATCACTTTATACAAATAAAAAATAAAAATTTTGTAGAGTACCTACATAATTTCAGATTGAATTTTGCTAGAGAAACACGACTATAAGAGCAATTTGTAACCTAAACCCGAGGTCTCTTTGAGAAAAACAATTTAATAGTAAAAAAAACATTTTTTATAACAAGCTTTTATTGTAATGTTCTAAAAAGAAGAAAATAAACTTTAAATTAAATCAAACCCATCAATTTATTACATTACACAATTTAAATGACATAGAAGCTTGTCGCGAGATTTATCTAGAGGAGTTTTGGTGGGAACCTGACCAGCGGCGGATTACTGCTCCTGTATTATTGTTAAAATAATGGTTTTAAATGTATTTTGATTTGTAAAACTGTTGCGATTTTGTGTATTAAATGTCTGCGCATATGAACTATTAGTGAAAACGGTAAAGCAAGTGCTCCGATGGTGACGTGAATCCCAAGATAAGGTGACAGACGCTTGAGATACTCTCGCCAACTGTCTGTTGGCTCAAGTTGCCCTCAAAATCTCTCAAAGGCCTGCTATACACAATGTGACGCATCAACATATTGTGAAGCACTGTACTATAAAGGATTATTATCACTTGATACTGAGATAAATAAAGACTTAACTTAAAGGACAACTATCCAAGCCAAAATATAAAGCCAAAAAATATCTATTTTATAAAACACGTTATTTTGTTCGTTTGTTTCTTAAGCCGAGTCTCCACCAAAGTTTTGTTGCCAACATTTGTTCCCTCGGTGGAGACGCTTGTTGGACCGTTGAACAGTTGTAATCAGTAGGAAACATAACTGTTGTCAACATTTTTGGTGGATACGCGGCTTTAGACCTAAGTAACGTCAATATCAAGTTACATATTGTATTCTTGTTTATGTACACAGGTAAATATCGCGACAAGCTTTAATGACATAAAATTGTGTAATGTAATAAATTGATAATCTTTTTAGAGTATTAAATAAAACGTTCTTTATTAAAATGTTTTTAATACTAATTTAAGTTTTATTTTTTAGTTATTGCTGGACATGTTTTAAGTCTATTAATTTTATATAATGCGTCGTTGTTGATTTTTGATCGCCATCTTAGATTCACCATCTTGATTTTTTTTATCAACAGTTGACCCTTGTCGGTCCCTACAACATTTGTTCGAGCACCACCAAACTGTCCCTAACCTTTGCCGAGTTATAGTTCTTTAAAATTGACATGGTGGCCATCTTGTTTCCGCCGTTTTGAATTTTTTCGCCACCGCTAGAATTTGTCCAGTGTGTAGGCTGATATTAGTTAAGACGTGACCCCGCTAAGTCTTACCTTTTAATAGGGTAGTACTACACCATCTCCTTGACGAGCTGAACGCGTACGTCATTTTATTCGTATTCTTCTCGGCAAACCCTTTCATTTGATATACATATTATAGGGAGGATAAAAAACACATAGTCCGCTATCTTTGGGTGTCCACCATATTTGATTTAGAGTGATGCCATTTTTTTCGTATTCTTCTCAAGAAACCCTTTAATTTGATTCCCATATCAAGGAAGTATATAAAAATTAATTAGACCACCGTCTTGATTAGTCCGTTATATTGGATTTAGTATGACGTCACTTAGCTAACAATGCATTGTCATCCAAATTTAACATGTATGCAAAATTTCAACTCATTCGGTTGAGAATAACTGCTTTAAAATTCATTTGCAAAATTTGACGCTAACAAACACACATTGCAAGTTAAATAAAAGCTTTTAATTTAAATAAATAAATTTCACCTCATTTTATACATTTTATAAAATTTTGTGGGTATTGATACGAGGCATTCCATCTTAGTCCTCAGAGGTGAAAATGCATCTGCATTTTGATTCTTAATCGATGTCTATGGGTCACAGCATCCACTTACTAACAGGTTGACTGTGCTCGTTTGTTACCCATATTCTTTAAAAAAAGAACCTACAAAAGGAATCAGCAGTCATATTATACTAAATTACCTGGTGGTCAGCCGCCAAGAGGGCATCGACAATGCCTTTAGCCAAGAGCCAATGACTCCGTGATGGCAACGGGAAAATACATAGAATGTTGTATCCCGACACTGACGACACCGCAGCGAGTGCTGAGAGTAAGAGAAGCACGCTTACCCTCATTGTGGCTCTGAAACAAAGAATAAGCTGTGTAGCTTACGAGGGTCTGGGGGTATATTCAGTGTTCGCGACAGCAAAAAGTGATTAAAACATAATGATTAAAACAATATCAAAATTATAATTAGAAACATTATTAGTGACAAACATAAGTGAAAGGTGCAATAGTGTAATTTTATAACATGTTTACAACCCCTAGTATTATAGTATAGACCACGGAGTAAATACAGAGAGGAGACGGCCTAATCAACTGTGCATTGGCTAACTAACTACTGTGATTCTAACTAGGCCCTGACATCATCACAGTGGGCGTGGCTTTAGTTAGTATACTGCCAGCGTTCGTCCTGTGCGCTTATGTGTCGTAGTATTAAGAAAAAAAGGATGAAGTGTTGTGTTTTATCGTGTAAAAGCTACTCAGATAGACGCTCTTATGCTATGAATGGCATCACATTTCATTTGTAAGTAATTTTATACCTAATTTATTAAAATAGTTCTAGAAAAATCTCTGTGTCGGCTTTCAAATATAAATAAATATATTCGACACTTGATGGCGACACTATGTGTCATGGAAACTAAACATATAGAGGTACGTAGAACTCAGTATTGGTAAAATGATCATACGAAGGTGATGAAATTTGTTTTGCATTCAGTCCTAAAGAATATTTAATCGCCAAAATATTATTTTTGTAGTTTTTATAATCATTTTGTGAACAGGCCGCCATCTATCGTCAAGGTAGCTAAACTACATTGCAACATCGATATGGATCGATGGGAGTAGTTTTACTATTTATCGATAGATGGAAAATAGCTAAGTGGGCGGGCTTAACACCCCATCACCCCGCAAATTATCACGCGTTGTTACATAGTGAAATCTAATTACAACACCTCCTCTTTGTATTTGCTCCGTGGTCTATAGAGCATCGTTTTGTAATAGGTAAGAAAATAACCTTTAATGTATAACACAAAGCCAGCCAATCAGAGCGCACCACATTATAGAACAATCGGGCATTATGTAACGTTAACACCCGAATGTAATGAAAATAATTTTTATACTCTAAAATAATTGGAAATACGGTATTTAATTAGACTAAGGTTTGTAGAATAAGGAAATATAAGAATATTTTGCATGATCAAACTTATTTCCCACTTATATTAAAATTAAAGAACCAATGGGTAGGTAACCCAAATATTGTTAAAATTTGGGATATTTTCATTAATAACTTTTTAGACTATTAATATATTAAAAATCCTTTATGATGTTCTAATAGATGACTAAATTACCAATATAACCAAGTATAATACGTTAGCATAAGAATTAATCGTATATAGAAAAAATTGTAAATTATGATAATTCTATAGTGAAAATAGTAAACAATAAAGAGGCAAATACAGACGATGGCAAGTGGCTCACTTTATGGTAAAGCTCCGGTCTACTTAAGCATCTCGAGGCCCGGTTACATTGTAAAAAGTTACTACCGAACAACTGGAAGAAATAGTCAACTGAAGAAATCGTTTGAAGAATATAGTAAACAAACAACGGTGAACAATTGATAGTGAACATCCGTAGTTGACGAACCATAGTCAACAACCGTAGTCGACAACCAGTAGTCAGAAGATTTCCGCCAAACAGTTGAGCTGTTGGCCACTGGCTTGCCATTCGTATTCTACAGTTCGTGGATTTTGTTTGGACGTCCGTCTATAGTACCCCAGTCGCACCCACAAAAAGCGGCAGAAGACGACCACCGGAACCTATAGGTGTATGACGTGAGTGACTCGAGTATCTTCAACAACATTTACTCCCGTGTTTCGCCCGTCCAGCACATCTAAAGTCTAAATTTTTGGGAAAGTATGTGGTCTAGCGAAGTTTCTCATAATGAAGGCGAATGGATTCGTGCAACCGAAAGTAAGTTTTATAATTTGCCTAACATGGGTTCTATCTCAATTACTGCTGAAGGTGTATACTCAATTACTCGTAGATTACACAGTTGGAAATCACCTGAACCAGATGGTATACACAACTTTTGGCTGAAATGGATAACAAGTAACCACGTACGTTTGGCTGCACAGATTCAAGAAGCCATAGAGTGCTGTGAGCGCCCGAGACTTCTTACAACTGGTATTACCCACTTACTATATAAAAATGGAAACACCACGGAACCTAAAAATTACCGACCTATAACATGCCTTTCAACTGTATACAAATTAATAACTGCAATTTTAAATAACAAGATCTATAAACATTTGGAAAATAATAACATTCTTTCAACTGCACAGAACGGATGTTGGAAAGGGTCACGTGGTTGTAAAGAACTTCTTCGCACTGACACAGCTATTTGCCGACAAGTCTTTCAGAGGCCTCATACTATGACTATGAACCCAAAAAGGTTTGGAATGACAAGCAACTGCATGGTCGATTTTTTAAAATATTGACTAATCCTTATGTAGACATGGTTGCATCAGTACATTGGTTACAGTTTGATGACCTTTTTGCAGAAACTGAAGGTTTTATCCGTGCAATACAAGATGAAGTAATTAAAACGAACAACTACCGGAAGTACATTTTGAGGGACGGCACAGTTGACGTATGTCGCGCATGTCACCACCCTGGAGAGTCCCTCAGACATGTTATTTCCGGTTGTTCACAACTATCAAATGGCGAGTATTTCCACAGACATAACTAAATAGCTAGAATAATACACCAGCAGCTTGCCATTAAATTTGATTTTACTCAACAGGACGTTCCATATTATAAGTATGAACCAAAGCCAGTCCTTGAAAATAGAAGGGTCACGCTGTACTGGGATCGGTCAATTATCACAGACAGGTTTATAGTGGCAAATAAACCTGACATTGTGGTAATAGACCGAACTACACGCAAGGCAATAATAGTGGATATCAGTGTTCCTCATGACGAGAATCTCGTGAAATCAGAGAATGATAAAAAAATAAAATATATCGACTTGGCTCATGAGATTGTCGCTGTGTGGGACGTTGATTCCACTATTATTGTACCAATAGTTGTATCAGTCAATGGGCTTATTGGTAAAGATATGGACGATTATCTGTCCAAGTTAGGTTTGGGCAAATGGCTGAAGGGATTAATTCAAAAATCGGCCTTATTAAATACGGCTCGAATAGTAAGAAGGTTCCTTCCTATCTTTGGATGCCTAACTTCACCGATGGCTTAGGATTCCTCGCCGCGGTGGATAATAGCCGAAATAATAATATTATTTATATAGATTGTATTTATATTTATAATATTATAGTTTTGTAACAATATATGTGATAATGTAATAATAATAATAATAGTTGGTCACAGCTGGATATAGCGCGAAAACTGATGGAGCGCATCGACGATCTGAAGCAGAGATTCCCTGCTTGGGGAAAGCGGATCCGGCGATATATCGAGAGGTCGAAAAGGTTCAACCAGAAGCGTCTCTTCCAGAGTAATCAGAAGAGGCTATATAAGTCATTAGAACGACCAATGGTAGGCGTATTGGGCCCAGTACCGAATCAGGCCGACACTGTTGCATTTTGGCGCGGCTTCTAGTCAGAGCCCGTAAGCCACAGCGCGGATCCTTGGATGGAAGTTGTGGTGAATCAGTGTGTAGCACCCAGCCATCTTCTCTATTGAAATTAGGATGTATTTTGATTTCAATAGCCTCGCGAATCATCCTTGGAGGGAATCGGTGTTTTTTAGCGAGGATTTGTGGTCTATCAAATCTGACGTAGTGACGGAGGTGATCCTGTACATGTTCACACATAGAACCACCGACCTCTGCTTTTTACTTATTATGCCGAGACGGGCCCTATGACCGGTACATAGTTGTGTACCGCGAGGAGAATCCGGGCAATGGGGGATGCCCCGAAGCCCGAGACCTGCTGTGGTCTAAGAAACACACACGTAGAAGACAAGGATAACGTCGATAACGACTGCACATCAGGTATGTGTTCTTTTACGCAGTGATGGTCACTCGTCACTCAAAGTACTCGAAACGTCAAGAAATCTAGTTGTATTTTATGTGTAGTGTAAATAAGTGTAGTAAAAACTATGTAGTGTTCGCGTAAACATAAGAAATTAACTATTAAGAAACTACATTAAGGAAAACTTCAGTAACTATTTGTTACTTTAAAAAATATTATCATCAAGCGTTCGTAACCCTTTGCACCCGGATCAACGATAGGTGTAATCCCACCTCATAGATCACAGAATTCTGAGGTTTCTCACAATTATTGGAGATTATGTCTGAAACAAACATTGAAGAAAAATATGGCGTTTGTAGGTTATAACAAATATTGTTTATATCCATTAAAAGGCCGGCAACGCATCTGCAATTCCCCTGGTGTTGCGGTTGTACATGGGCGGCGGTAGTGACTTACCATCAGGTGAGCCGTATGATCGTTTACCCCCGCTTCTATAAAAAAAATATCTTCATCCATGAGAAACCATGTGAAAGGGTATTTGTTTTGTAAGTTACTTACTTAGCCTTTATTTTAATTTTTTTAGTGATTTTATTATGAGCGTTATCATGTAAACAATTTAGATAGCGCAGCGTGATTTTGGTGTATTTTTTTTTCACGAAAACACAGGTATTACTAGACAAGTTCAACTTCGACTAAGTGGTCAACCGACGTATTGAAATCAACTGGCTGGTTCAATAAACCTCAAAAGCTCAAAACAAGTGTGCATACAACCAGTGTGCGTGATGTCAGCGATGACCTACGGAGAACGCAAGAGAAAGCTTAAAGTCGTTCTGCAAGTTGCGGAGAGGGCTTTACCTCTACTATTGGAATTTCTCCTGTTTCGTGGAGGCATTTTAATTTACACTCATGGAAGAATGTAGAGGAACGCCACAAAAGTTTATTTTCTTCTGTTGTCATTATCGTGCGTACTGGCCACAAACATTACTAAATGGTATTAAACAAATTTGGAGTGGTTTTTTTTTCGAATTTCTTTTGTTTTGCTCCTAATCATGAAAATTTGAATAACGAAGCTTGGAGTCAAG